CTGACACAGAGAGGAGGGAAGATGGGCTTTATGCTGAGGACACAACACAGGGGCTCAGGAGATGGAGTTTGTTTGCACAACACAAGGAGACCCCAACCTGTTGCCTCCACATAACCCAAATAAAGGTCAGAACCACGGGAGCTCCAAGTGACCTGTTCCCATTTTGCACTGAATGACTCCCCGCATTACCACAAAGCACCACATGGTTGGGCTTTTAAAACATTTTCTTAGGGAAGTTCAGGGTGTTTGAATAATCCCCAACCCTTGATCTCAGCAATAAATACCTGCAACAGGGACATGACAAAGCTGTTATGTGTCATTGTTACCTAACACTGACAACTTACTTGGTGCTGACTGTTACAGGGGCATTGTTTGCTCCACAGCTCATCTTCCCCACAGAGCACAGCTCCAGAACACAGTTTAAAAGCTTAATTAAAAAAAAAAAAAAAAATCTAATAGGTTGGATGGAAAGAGCACATTGGTTTTTAACCAGCACAGCCTTTGCTGGACATATCTGGACTATGTCTTTGAATAGGAGTTTTCAGAAACACATTTTTGATCTTAGTGGACTTCTTAAAAGCTGTTATCTGGATGCATCACAACAAAGAATGAAAAAACAGCACCCTGTTAGAGCTGGTTAACTGATAATGTAATTCTGCAACAGGTCAATAAAGATGTACAACCAGGAAAGTTGTACCTCACCCACTCCCAGCTAAAAAAAAATCCTGTATCAATATCTGCTTTAGTGGCAGCTGCTTAGTGAGACCCTAAAGAAATTTCAGATTCTACCATCAAATAGGAGAGTTCCAAATCTGTACAATAAAGAGTAATTTTAACAGATAACTTCATTTTGTTTATATGCCTTACAGCATCTTAAACTGGTTTAAGAAATGCTTCATTTTCTGATGACACTGGTCATGTTCTGTGCTCAGAAAATGCTAATCAAAAATCATGTATATGCCAGAAGACAATAAATTAACATCATTCTTTCCCACCTTATGCCACATTTAGCTTGATTCTGCTTTTTTTTTCCTCTGTAGCCCCTGTTCTCATCTTGGGCTAGCTATTGTGATAAAATTCACACACTAAAAAGGAAACTTCTTTTCTCCCCTCTTAAAAAATTACTGGTCCATACAGAATGACAACTTCTAGTGCTCAGCAAACACTGAGAATATTTCAGTGAGAGACACTTGATAGCAGTGGAAAATACTTCCTTGAAGCTAAAATACATCCTATAATCCCAAAGCCATTGTCAATTGTATCTATCTCTCTTCTTTTTAAATTGTAATCCGTTAGTATTATAACTGATTATGGTTTGATAGAAGATAATCTTATCTGGAAGAGCCTTGCAATTACTTTAAACTGCCGTGAAGTGTTTTTTCACCTTTAGTCAGGGCCTGATAAAAAGTTTGAATCTAAAGAAGTCACAGATAAGGTGTTTTAGAAGGTGATTTATCCATTTAGTCTGATCCACTGCGCCAAAGAAGAGTAAAGTGGAGATGTGGAGGAATATTAAAATAGACTTGGCTCTGACTTTCCAGTGAGGGATCCATTAATAACAAGAAGTGACATTGTGACTCTCCTAAAATGATACAAGATTGTCTCAAGCAATCACCTAAAAGTCCAGTCAGCCTGATCCTTGCTGAATTGCACAAGAAAGACCTGGAAAATTTTGAGTCACTGGAGACAAACGCTTTGCCAGAAAAGGTGGACGAGTCCCCCCTGGAGAACTCCTGTCCTGCAGCCTCAGAGCCACGATGCAGTGGTTTGGTGATGTCAGTGCTGAGGCAGGGACACAAACCAGCTTCCTTAGGTCAAATAATTCTGAAATTAATCATAAAACACCTCACGATCAGGGCAGCTCAACAATGAGAAGAACTGTCTGTAAACAAAGTGCTCCTGAAATACACCTGTAAAACTGGAGATCCCTTCACACAGCAGGAATTACAGCACCACTGTCCCATCCCACTCCTCCCAATGTGGGAATTGTACTCCTTTTCCCAGTGCTGTTATAGAGTATGAGGATGTCCATCAAGTAAACAGCACCAAGTATTTTCTCTTACATCGTGATGCAACACAGCAGGATTGCTAAATCATGATCCAAAACATCTGAACCTTATGGAATGCAAATCTGAGGGACACCAGCAGCCACTGCTCCACAATCCCACTATAAGATATGGCACAGAACAAAAATAACACCTTCTGATCCTCCCTGGAATACAAGCACTGAGGCTGCACTGCAGCTGGTCCAATACAATATATTTTACATGCATGCAATACACATTAATGTGAAATTATTATTTTAAAGTTATGAGAGATTTCAAGTTTTACATGATTTGGGCATTACATTGGGACAGTGGGAAAGTCTCTACATCCTGATCAGTGCCAGGACATAATCCATTTGGAAGTCCTCTAGTATATGAGCAAAACATAAAACCTCAGTCTGTTACTAAAAAACGAAGCAAAACAAAAAGGAAACACCACCTTTTAAAAGGAAGAAACAAGAAACAGTTCAGGTTATTCCATGGCACAGGTTTGTCCACTACAACCTAACACTACAAGGCTTCAGTGAAAGAGCAAGAGGTTGAATAAATACAGAAAAGGCAATCAAAGGAAGCACTGGAAAACTGAGAAGCCTGTTTCAAGAAGAAACGACATTAAATATAAGGCCACAAACACGCCCATCTTGCTCCTCAGCAAAGAGTCTTACAGGCAAGACATTAAGTGTATTACTACGCTAAAAGGCTGGGTGTTTTAGATCACACACAGAGAGCACACGAACGCGCAGCGCCGGGCACAGCGAGGGGACACGCTGCACACAAAGGCCACCTGGCAGATGGGAGAGGAAAATAAACAATTAACCAGGAGAGCAGCCACCCAACCCCAAGGCCGAGCCGGGGGGCCGCGGGTCAGGGACAGATCAGAGACAGGGGGACGGAGAAAACGCCGGGGAAGGACAGGGCGAAGGCAGAGCCCCCCAGGATCGCCCCCTCCCCAGCCCAGCGTCCCCTCAGGGTCCGCACAGGGCCCGGCCCCGCCCGGTGCCCCCTCCCCGAAGCCCGCCCGCCCCTCAGGCCCCGGCCCCGCGCACTCGCCTCGTCCGCGCTCAGCTCCTCCATCGCCTTCCTCTTAATGGTGCCCGGAGGGAGGGCGCGATCCTCCGCCCCGCCGCGGGGCCGCTCCGAGCCCGCGCTCTCCTGCCGCCGCTGCCCCCCGGGCCGCCTCACAAGGGCATCTCCGGGGCGACCGCCGCCGGCCGAACCCACCGCCGCCGCCGCCCCCGGCCCCGCCGCCCGCTCGCCCGCCCGCGCCTCCGCTGCCGCCGCGGCCGAGGGGGA